TTTAAATTGATTTTCACGATATATCTTCCGATTAGAGTGTCGGGATGAAAGCCTCTAATTGTGTTATAAAAATGAATAATTGATATGATTGATCCAATCCAATTGAGGGAATTCCGACGCTTCACTGCTTCGAATTATTAATTTTAATTTCACTTTTCAACATTAAATTTTATTACACATTTGAGAGAACAATTCAACCTTTTTAATCATTTAAATATTCTTCCATATCCCCGTGGATATAACACCCCAAAGTTGTGCTACAATTATGGCGTTATTCGTTGGGCGTAATCAGGTACATATAGTTATTGAACAAAAGTTAGACTTAATAGAAAGTTTGATATAAATATTAGTCGTTGATTTTAATTTTTTAAATATTTCTCATAGCATATGAAGCGAATTTGTTGAATTTTGGCATATAAAGTAGTTTTAGTCCATGACTGTTGATTTTATTTTTGCAAATGAATTTTTCACAATATATGATTTTATTTGTTGAATTTTGATATACGAATTAATCTTTAATAACTTAATGTTAATTTAGTTAGCGATAAGAAAATTTTAGAATTATTATACAAATAAAAATGATTAATAATATATTTGACTGTAATATATTATTGGTTGAAGCACGGATCACTTATTGAACCATTGACTTGCTTCATTATTTGGGTCAATATTCGAGTTGGGTTTGACAACTAACCATGTGTACGGGTACAAATTATTTTATTGAATTAATGTGTAGTTGAGAGGAGTTTGGAGAAAAATAAGTTGTAAAGAAGGGAACAACAAGGTTTAATCATTCAAAAATCAGATGGTAAATAATCTATATAATGTATATATAGTATATATATTAAAGGATTAATTGCAGAATACCCACTATAAACGTTTCAATTTGCAATATACACCTTACCTATTAGAAATCGCAAAAAACCCCTATTTCAAACGTTGTGTGCAAAAAATACCCATGTCTTCGGCATCCGTTTACCGTGCCGTTAAATTCCAAGAAAAAAGGCGAAAATTGATAAATAAGCAAGGGCAAATGCGTCAATTTATATTTTTTATTCTTTAATAACACCCAACCAACACGAAGAGGTGGGTTTGTACAAAATGAAAAGACACGAAACATATATTATTTCGGATTTTTCTTCAGGTGTATATATTCTTCTTCTTCAAGGGAGATTTTACCTTTTGATAGAGAATCGGCACCCATCGATTCTGTCGGAATGTGTACAATGACCTTGAATTGATCTTGCCAGATTGTTGTTTAGAAAGAGAAAGAAAATCGATAGAGAGAAGAAAGAAAGTAGATAAAAAGAGAAAGTTAATTATTATGTGTTTGAGTCACATTATTTTCGAAGAATATATTTTAAAATAGTATATTGATGAAGAACGTGTGGATGAAAAAGAAGGAAAAGTTATTGATATGATGAAAAATATTTAGTTGAAAATGAGTAGAAGAATGAGAATGAAAATTTTAATATGACTCAAACTTGAGCTTAATAAGAATATTATTATATTTAAAAATGAGCTATGACCTGATTTTTAAGTAAGCAAACCTTAAACTTGATTTCTGAAATGCAAGTTTAAAAATCCGTCTCTCTGCAATTTCCACTATAAAGAATCTCCACAAAACGTAGGCTAATTTCCACTATAAAGAATCTCCACAAAACGTAGGCTAAATACTATGATTTTTGTATCATGCTTGTCTTCAAAAGAATCAAAACTTTGATTTTTCGACACTAAAAGTTCCAAGCGCGACACTGAAAGCTTTAAAATAAGACTAGTGTGATAAACCCCGGAACAATAGGTTGGTTTGATACGGGAATCCACGAATCGATCAATTCTTATATTTTGACTTCAAAGTCGGAGTGCAAACGATTGTTGCACCCCTTTTGGTTAAACGGTCTTGCACTCTAAAGTGTCCTAAATGTTCTGCAGCTTCAGAGGTGGACGGAAAGGTGGTGTTTTCTTGACTTTGGGATCGTCCAGATTTTGAGGTCAACACTTTCAATATTTCAATTTAATTCAATACCTGTCTATGATGAAATAACCCAGCGGGTAGTTACAAGTCTGGACTACAGTAAATCTTCCTCAGGGTAAACCTTAACAGAACTTTACTTCAGCAAGGTAGATTGCAACAACCTTTTCGAGGGAAGCAATCTTTCTTTTGGATCAAGTATTGATGAGACCTCCAGATGGCAGCATGATGTGCAAATCATCCACGATGACATCGACTAAGTTCCACCATAGATAAAAGGAAAACCACGTATTGGACCACATAATTGTCATGGGGGAACAAATGAAACGAAGATTGGAGCATTGGACAATGTAACAATTATGTTACTAAAAAAAAAAAAGACATCTACTCCACCGTGATGGCCACTCAAGTATGTAAACATAAATGTCAAGCGATTCAACATGAAATTTCTTCTTAATATTCAAGATAGAGCTTGGTAGCAACGAAACAAAGCAAAATACTCCATTAAAATTTGTGCCTACAATATTCATCGGCAAGGAGCTCGTAATTTTCATTATATAAAGATTCACAGTTTGATTGCAAGATGAAAATGGTGAATATGATCAACAGGTGTGAGCTAAATCATTACGACACTAATTAATAGGCAACAATTTCAACATCAATAGAAAACAATGTCATAGACTTCTTTGATAAGCAATGTTACAACACAGGGAGCATTGGTTGTGTTAGGTAACTCTGCAATAAAGTCCACGCAAAAGTCACGTTAAGTAGTAAGCAACGACATTCTTTGATCCGACTCAAGGGCACATTGAGTCTTTCGTGTGTGTGTGTGTGATATTAATACTCAACATCTGAAGAAAAAGTTCTCAAGATTTAAAAAATGGCTAACATAGTACAGACAAACTACTCAACCAACTTCTGGATTGTTTAAAATAATTAAAAGTATATCACAAACTAACACCAATTAGTGTACCATAGGAAATGGAAAAATTGTAGAGGAAGTCCAAACCTATGGCATAAGTAGCAAGTTGCTCCAAAAACTCATCATATTTGATCAACCTAAGGACAAGTTCATGTCCAAGCCTCCTTTAGAAAGTCAATTTTTACTAAAGAGAGGATTATATCTTTATATTCAGTAAAAGTAAAAAATATATAACGAAAATAAAAATGAAAAAATTCTCGTCCACTGCCCCTCTCCCTAACTCACCCACCCATTTAGCTGCACCCTGCCTCTCTTGAGGCCGGGTTAAAGAAAGATTAAGAAAGTGAACGTTCCATACCGTCGTAGCAAGAAAAGTAACATGCATTAGAATATTACCTTATGCTGTCATTTATGGAGGAATATGTGCACAAAGACATTATCTCTGCAGTAGTAAATAGTAATGTAATGGTATGAAGCGGCACCTGTTATCATGTGTGGTACAAATTCTGATAAACAGGTATATCAGTCACCAATAAAAGGTTCTTGCTTGTTGTCTCCTTTAAACATATGGGAAGACGGGCTCTGTGGAATTTGGGATTGATGGATCTTAGGATCATATGACTGGGAGGCTAGGTAATTCAATGCTGTAACGACATCAGCAATGAGCGGCCGCATGTTAGGTTGCTCCTGGACGCACATAGCAGCGATTGCAAGGGCTTGGTATAAGCCTCTCGCAGGGTATTGTCCATGGAGTACTGGATCTGCCATTTTGTAGAATTTCTTTCGGTCCTTGAACAATGGCCGGGCCTACAAACAAAAACGGAACGTTGTAATCGTAAGTCTGGTAGAAGAACTTACTTTTCAGTGGGCTAAGATTCCTGCATAGCTCATGCATTCTTAAATGCAAATATGTCCTGTAATATATTAAACGTGAATCCAAAACTCGATCTTCAAAATGAGAAAATAAATATAGTAAAATCATCCAACAATGCAACATTTCTTAGGTGGAGAACCCTACACAATATTAGAAACAATTAGAGATAGGAAATTACATATCTTGAAGAGAATTTTACATAAACCTTTGCAAATAATTTCTATAAGAACTTAACAAAATAATATTACACACCTCTCAAGCATGTCAACACAAACAAACATTCATATAGAGAATTGAAAGTGCACTGATATAATTTTCACTTCCTTATTAAAGATCAAAAACAATTAGGGAGTCTTCATCAATAGCCGCGAGATATTGCAATAAATTTGATCTATGAAAACCAATTATTACGCAGGACCGATTCACTATCTGAAGAAGCCAAAAAGGCTAATACAACAATAAGAGCAGACTAAGAATTGTTCCCAATAAAATTGTGGTAAACTATAGAAGAATCTTATTTCCCCTTCCACTCATTGCTAGATCTACCAAAAGATCAAAAGCAACTAGATAAGATGGGCAGTACAACATTTCAGAATATTTTGAGAAAAAAGAAACCCCATGAAGCAAGAGCAAGAAATGTCGGCTATTCTATTGTGAAACATATCAACAACAGGCAAAGAATAGTAATAATCAATAACTTACCCATGCAACCAGATTTTTCGCAGCGCCTTCTCTTGTTTCATCAATTGCCTTTCTGCCTGTGATGAGCTCCAAAAGAACAACCCCAAAGCTGTAAATATCTGATTTGAATGTCAGTTGGCCAGTCATTGCATAATCTGGTGCACAGTATCCATACGTTCCCATCACTCTGGTGGAAACGTGAGTTTGATCTCCAGAAGGACCCACTTTCGCCAAACCAAAATCAGATAGCTTGGGATGATATCCCTCCCCAAGCAAAATGTTGGAGCATTTCAGATCCCGATATATGACAGGCGGTTTCATCTTGTCATGCAGATACTCTAGGCCTTTAGCTGCACCAGCTGCTATCTTCATTCGTGTATTCCAATCAAGTGGTTCTTTATTGGGTCGAAGGTCTATAAAAATAAAGCAAAGCAAGTAACCCGCCGAATCTTGTTAAAATAGAGGGATATATAAAAAAGACATTAAAAAAAAGGGAAACAAGATTGAGCCGTACCATGTAAATGGTCCTCCAATGAACCTAGCAGCATGTACTCATAGACCAACAGCCTCTGATCTCCCTCGGCACAATAACCAATTAACTTAACTAGATTAGGGTGATCAGCCATACTTAATGTAAACACTTCAACGACAAATTCCCTAATCCCTTGACATCCATTACGGTCCAGTTGCTTTATAGCTACTATCTACATCGAAGCAACTTCGACTGAGAATTAATTTTATCATATTAACTACTAGAAATTACATGATATGAAACGAGTTCCACTTACCTGGCCACTATCCTGCAAATGACCTTTATAAACTTTTCCAAAACCTCCCTCGCCCAAAAAATAATCTGGCTTGAAGTTCTCTGTTGCAGCCACCAATTCTGCAAATGTAAATTTCCGTGCTTTAATGGCATTGGTCTCATCATCGGCAGATGTCCTTTTACTGGCATCTGCATCCTCTTCAACTGCAGGTTGATCTACTAAGACTTTCGACTCCTCCTTTACATAGTTTTGTGGGCTCACCTTAAATGCATCTATAACCATAATATCAAAGGAAATACGAGACTTATAGCCCATATGAACAAGAAAAATGTTATTTATCATGATAAAATATCGGTAGTGTAACAACTCATTATCCCTTATCAAACATAGCACTAAACAAGTCCAGAAAAGGCCGTACAGAGCAAACGGGAAATTATATATAAAGACAAACAATTGATTCACATCAAGACAAGTAGAGACTAATACGAGGATAACTACGCTTGCTAATAATTTAAAGAAACGACACGGAACCTGCATAAAAAAGACAAAATAAAAAGAAACGAAAAACAAGAAAAGATATTAAAATATATTTTTTTTCCCAAAAATATAATTTGTGCACAGGAAAAATCATCAGCATTAATACCATCAGAAACAGTCAAAAGAGGTGCTCTAGAAACTTCTTATAAAATATGACCAATCACAGAAACGTCCATAAATCGTGAAAATAAAAATTCAAGAAAAATCGTGATTGGTTCGAGATGATTTGAAATCCAGGAAAAATACCCGCATGCAGGTCAAAAAAATCCCCAAAGTGAATGGCGAAATCACCGAAAATTAATTGGACAAAGAAAAATAAGAAACTGGGTATCTGCACATACGATTATTAATAGAAAGGAAAAATTCCCCGGAAACCCACATTCAAAATCGGAAGCACAAAGGTTGCAAATTCTTCAAAAAAAAATCCCGTTTTTTCAAATAGGTTCTGTATAAAATATAAACCTGTCATGAGCTGTGCATGATCATCTCCTTTACACTGACTATTGGTGGTATTGTTTCCCCTTTTCACTGGTTTTTTGACTGATGATTCTCCATAACAACGGAAACACCCCATGCCTTCTCCCTCTCTATATAAACATATAATTAATCAGTATTTCTACAACACAGAAAAGTTCATATATATTTTTGCGGGTTTATATATAATTAATTTATATCTGTCTCTCGCTCTCAGCTACAGAGGAACACGGATGAGACGAAAGAGACATTCGAGAATCGAGAGAGAGAGAGAGAGAAGAGAAAGAGAGATAGACAATGGAGGACAGAGAGAAGTTTTTCTCTTTCTTTTTCTTTTTCAGGCCCTTTTTTTTCCACTAAACAATTTTTGGAATTATACAGTGCATAGTATTTAAATTTGTCACACCATCTCTTCCAATAGTTTTTTTCGCCACGTAATTGAATTATATTTATTATTAAAGCAGATTAGCGCTAGATTTTTTGTTCTCTTTTTCTTTATTACAGAGAATTCATATTATCTCACCCAGCTGTCGATTTGTCCCCACTGCTTGTAACAACACGTCTCGGCAGCCGTTTGATTTTGAAATTAGAAAAAAATCAAGAAACTGTGATAGAATAGTTTTTTAAACCGTGATGTGTGCTTAAAATTAGGTAGAATAGCTTCGTGTATTGAGTCCATGGTTTGGTTCGTTATTAGGCCTTGACTTGATTCATCGTGAAATCTGGTTCACGAATTACTCGTGACTCGTTAATTTTTTTTACTAAAATTGCTTTACCGTTTACTTTATGATATAGGATGGTGTTCACGA